TTCCTTGTTTCTGATAATGCATGAATTTTTAATGTCATTCCAGCAATGCTGGAATGACAAAAGCTTGTTTATCACCTCTTGTATCCCCCTTCTTGTCCTTGAGAACTATTTGCTCTTACCCTTAATGCATGCCGACCTTCCTGTCTATTAAATTCATTAGATTGCCCAACTCGAGTTTTATCATGATTTTGAGTAGGCTTCCTGCTTCCTGCCCCCGTATGCTTTGGTTTAATATAATCACCTGTATCACGTAAATAAGATTTAGCGTTTTCATTCATCTTATCTTCGCTAACATGCTTCAATCTCAATATAGCACTAGATAATTCTGCTTTTGACTCTACACTTAACTGTTGTGAAATTGGTAATTTTTTTTGACCTGCTAATTGGCTTGCTGCTTGACCTAACCCATTACCATTAGCTGTTTTTTGTGCACTACTTTCTTTTTTATTCTCCAGAAACTCACGTATACGTCCTTTTGGTATTTGACTTAACATCATATTAATTGGGGTTTTCACCTCTGATTTTTCAGCTGGTTGTTTCTCAACTGTCTTCAAATTGGATATTGCTTCAGATAATACTTCTTTAGACAAACGCGATTGTGCAGCTTCATCACCAGCACCTTGACGCAACCCATTCAGTTTTCTTGTTAATTGTTCATAGTCTAAAGCAGATTGATTGCTATGAGCTGTCGGAGATGATCCCAAGCCAGAATCTGACTGCTTAGTTTGAGAATCACTAGTACCAGGTGATTTCAATCCCATGTTTGGCTGTGCAAATTTTCCCTTCAACTCACGCTCAAATTCCTGCCATGTACTTTGATCTCCTATACTCTTACGTTTAGCATTACCAGTGGGAGATGAAAAGCCAGAATCTAATTCTGTTGAAGTATTTAATTGCGTACTTTCTCCACCTTCATCTAAAATCAAGGAATCTGTATCTCCATCAGACCAATCAATAATACCTTTAGGATTTGTATTTCTTGGATCAGACTGCTCAGTACGTTTAGGAGTACTTGCCTTTTGTGGATTCACCCTAGCTTGAAATTCGTCTTCCGATAGTAATCTTGTCGTCACACTATCACCTGATTCAGCTTGCCCATCAAGCTGATCAGCAAGTCTAGGAGCACTAACAACACCTGAACCTGTATCTCCCCTATACCAATCAACACCTTTAGGACTTGTCTCATGACCAGACAACCCAATAACTTTAGGATTTGTCTCTTCTTGACGTAACCTATCTGGAACTTGTGTAAATCGCAATTTTTTCAACGGATTACCCTTCGCATCTGTCGCAGATTCACGTTGTTGCACACCAAGTTGAGGAGGTGCTTTATTTTTTCGAATCTGCTCACTATTTAATGAAGCATTTGAGTCCACTTCGTCTACCTCTTGCATACTCTCCTGTTCTATCTTTTGTTCTCTATTTCTTCCATTGTTTATTGCGTCAAATAAAGATACACCATTTATTGTTACATATTTGTTCGCTTTCAACTGTTCATCAGTAAGACCATTCCTATCTTCCACTATTACGCCATCTTTATCAATCACTACTACACCATCCTCATTTATATTGATTGTAATAGTGCATTTCTTGCCACCAACAACCCAGTCCAACGTCATGTCATATGAACCATCAGTGACAGTATAGTTTCTTAATCCATTCGGTGATAAGAAGCCATGCATTCCACCCTTGTCATCATTATGAAATGTTGAAAATCCTGAAATTCCATTATTCTTACAAAAATCACTCTGTAAAAACTCACTTATTTTTACTTCTGTACAATCACTATCCAACTCAATTTGTACATAATTACCATATGCTGTAACTTCCTTAACAATTGGATTTCCATTGTTTGTAATATACTTACTAAGCTGTGCTTTAATTTGATTTGGTAAATTTGAAGATTTTTCAGCCTCATCTATAATCTTATTAATCTTATCATCTAAAATCTTTTCGCTTATCAAAACAGTTTTTAGGTCATCAGCCGTCTCTCCCTCATTGTTTCTCAACTTAAAACTAGCACCACGTTCTACCAAAAATTTTATTATCTCTTCTAGGTCTTTCTTCGTGTACTTACCTTTTTCTTGTGCTTCATATAATAAATGCATTAAAGGAGTATCACCATTTTCATCTTGGTGATTAATGTCATCCATACTAGATTGTAACACAGCACTGATCATCTCTATTCTATTTGCATCTTCACAAGTAACAGCATGGTGAAGTAGTGATTTAAATTCCCCAGGGCTTTTTATAACTACACCTTCCCCTATTATCCTCTCTCTAAAATTTGTAACATTACCTGATTTTACAATCTCAGATACTTCTGCATGAAAACTTTTCTCTTCTGCTTCTGTATCAAAACTTTTCACCTTTTTACTATAACTTTTCCAATATTCAAAAAAGATAGTGTAGTTAATTTCTATATTTTTTGTCCCCGTCATATATCCTCTACTATTAATCACTTAATATAATTATCGTAGCATATGGTTAATTTTTTATTAGGCTCTGTGTATAAGATTAATGCAAATTATGAAATAGACTTTTATGATGAGAAAGACTTAAAACTCTTAAAGACCTGCCTCCATATAAATGGATATGCAACCAGTGCCTGACACTAAACAGCACTAT